CAATGATGTGAACATTCGAATGGATGATCCAACCTCGTTGGTTTTCTCCAGGTCCTCCGGTTTTCCCCCAGTGCAAAAGACCACTACGCGCAAGCGAATTGTTGAAATAAAATTGAACCATATGTTAGTCCCGAAATGACCTGGCTTGTGTCTTGTGGACGTTAACCCCCCCCCTCTCTCTTGTTTGATATATATGTATACTAGCCCTTATCATACTTATAGAAATTAATTTGATGTAGTATCGTATATTACAGGTGATTTTCCTCATTACTATTAATAACATGATATAATAATATCACAGGTATATTAATTAGTCAGGTAAAAACGTGTGAAATGGTAAGAAACTGATACAAAATATAGAAGTGCTATTAAACAGTAATTGACCCGGGGCTGTTTTAATGAGGGTATTAAGAATTATTTACTATAAACTTTTCAAATAAAGTAGGCATTTACTGGTTTAACCAACCGGCTGACTTTTCACACGCTGATAATTTAAGAAGGAGATTTATTGTCGCCTCAAGGTTTAGATCGTATAATCTCACAGGATCAACATAATGAACATCAATACGGCTTTACATTCTGCGCACAGAGAACTATCTATATTGAGAATATATCTCGGCGCTGAATAGCCACCATGTTGTTATGCAGTTCTAATCCGTTTTATATCTTTCAAACACATACAGACTAAATAATAAAATATGAAAATGGAAGCGGCATAAATGATTTTCAAAATTCTCGAAATATACTTTGTGTTTCAGACTAAAATCGTCGATATAGAAATTAAAATGTCGGTCAACTAGCTTTGTGCCTGTTCTCAAACAGAGCTAATTGAAGACAAGCAACGTAAGCTTTGTATGTACGACTTTACATTCCATCAAATTATAAATATTTATTGTAAAATTCGGGAAAAGCATTTTTTTTCTCATGGCTTTAACTATACCGATTAGGACCGATTCCATACCATTATTGTATTAGTAAATTTGCATAAGATGAACATCAACGAACTGTTATACTATTGAAAGTGTCAGATGTTTGGGCGCCATGGTTACTAATTTATGCAGTTGTTCTTAAAAAATATTGTTTTCAGGTTAGGAAATCGTTTAGAATATTATGTTGGTTAAAGACATTATGTAAATTTTATGACTTTTGTTGATGAATTATGTAAGATTTGGGTAAAAAGTTTGCCGCTCTTGCTACAATAGTTCAAAAATAGATAATAAAAACTGAATATTTTGAAAAGTTCAGCCAAATTACGTTATTCTGAGCGAAGTTCTGAGTGTTCGAAATTTTGGCAAGATAAGTCTCGATTGTCGATTATTTTAACCTTACATTATTAAATGGAGCGGATGTTCTAATTCATTAAATATCTCGGCCATACGATGGTCTAACGTGTTAATCATGGGATTGTCAAGCGAACAAATATGTAAATGATAATTTATTTTACATTTGAAGCCAGAAAAGAAGACGCATTTAGCCCTTTAAATAATATATGCCAGTGTCAAACAGAATATATATATATAGGTATACTATAACCTTGTTACATGTATAATCATATCCTGGGGCTAGTTAATTTGTTACTGTCCAATTCACAGACCGTGATATGTCCTAAATAAATATGCATGTTAAAGTGACATTTCGTTCCATATAAAGATTTTGTGTTGTTTTTCATTTGGAAATCGCTCATACATGTAGTTTCGTGACGTATCGTCAATATTTTCGATTTTAAGATTTTAATATACTAGATGAATAAAATGCAAATATATACTTTCAGAACATACAGAATTATCAGTACATGACGTGTAGTCTTACCAAAGAGCAGATTACTCCAAGAATTAATTTTAAAGAAAACCGAGTAAATTATAGTCATCGGAAGTTCACATTACTTTCTACTTATTTCACTTTCTTCCCGCCATATCCAATTTCTTGTAATCTCTCGTCTATCCTTACAAGGGGCATCTGCGGTGGGGGGGGGCACATTAAATATAGGCTATCTGTCAGTCACCAATTGTAAAGAATACGTAAATGAAAAGTTATTAAACAGAAAAACCCTATCCATAAGTCTACCAATATGTCACCGAGACATAAAATTTAGTTTAAACTACATAGAACTAATTATTTGCCTTCACTACAACCTTATCAGTTTGGTGTTCTGTCTGAAGTTTGACTTAAACCGTTACGATTGGTTTAGACTTTTCATGGCCCAGACACAGTTTCTCGTCATTTGCTATAGATAATATGGAGTTTTAATTTGGTTGATAAACTCAAACTTTGATATCGTTAATCTGTAAATCTGAACAACGCCATTTGATTGTTTTTTGTGTTTTTTTAAAAAATAGAAAAGAAGATACATCAATTAAAAATAATGAAAAATAAAACGAAAGAATTGTCGAATTACGATAAATGTGTTTTGAATAATACGAACCGTGTACATGTATCTGTTTCAGTACGATTTGTATAATGACCATCTCACTGCTATATTGGTTAAGAAGTGAGATTTCAAAAAAGATATTGATGGCAATTTATTCTACATATTATTAAGCATAAAGCCCTTGATCATTTCAATAAAATATAGTTATTTCTTATTTATTACACACGCCAAAATCTCTTTAATATGAACATGTATTTGGCTTGGTCATGAAACAGTGATAAAAGTAATTTAGCCATAGGAAATAAATTCTGAAGCTATATTAAGATTTGCTATGTCGTGATTTATATTTTTCTGTATTTATTCAGAAGATGACGTCAGTAGGTTTGCAGTTTTATACAAACGGATATGTTTGACATTTATTGGTTTCACTGGACTTACAAAACATACACTGTGAAAAATTAAAATTGTGGCAAGGTGTGGAATTGGCTCGTTACATATAACAAAACTGCAAACGGTCTGAATCTTTCAACGATTAGTCTTTTCATTTCAAACTGTCAACCTTTAAGAGAGGTATATGTCGCCCTTTCGATCCGATGCGACTTTGTGCAGTTGGGTTTGATGGACTAGAAGCAACCCAATGCAATTAAGAGTTGCTTGAAAAAGGCGACATAAGCCATCCCATGCGACTGTGAAAAAAGTCCAGATGCAGTTAGATGTATATGTTCTTCGTTTCTTGGATCGGTTGCAATTAGTTACAGGGCATCAAGCGCGGCTTTAGTGATTAATTTATTAATAGCCATGTCAAAATATGAAATGTAGAAAAAGAATACTATATTTTGCATTAATTTCTTGGTGTGTATGGGCGTGCTATTATCCAATGTATTTTTTGACAGTTTTATGAAGACGGAATAGTACATATTTATACATAAATTTTATTAATATATTCCGTTTTGGTTTTATTGTTTTATAAACCACATTCTTCAAAACGAGCATATAATATTATATGCACTGCACATTTCGGTAGATAAGTGGATTTAGAATATTGATAACCACGAATAGTATCCGGACATCAAGCAATGATAAATTATCCAGAAACTGATAAAATTGTTTAGTAATTGTGAAGTAATTTCCCGGTAGGTATCCGATTACCTATAGAGGAAGTAATTTGAGTGTAATTAGTTCCAATAGTGTTATTTACAACTAAATAACACGACTTTTACATTAAATTCTTTGTAAATTGTATACAAAATGGATCACCATTCATCTATTCCCTGTAACAAGTTTATGCATTCAAACACACATCATATTATTCTTCACAGTAGAAAAAGACATTTAGCGGAAGTTAGACCTCCTGTATTTTAATCAGATTTTTTTGGAGAACAGATATCTGATAAAGATAGTTCCAGGGGTATATAAAAAGGGAGCAATGGGCCAGAGCATATGCAATTGATAAAACAGTCTTATTTAAACCAATCAACTGAAGTTTACCTTAGTCTCTATTGATTTCATGTCGCCATCTTATGAGTTCATAAAGAAACATTAATTCACCCCCACCCCCACCACTTCCTTATTAGCAAGACCATTTCTTTAACAGTTTATATCTTAATATGAGACAATGTATTTATTTTCCCTTTACCTTTTAAACTTTTCCACTGGAAATAATGTTGAAAATAAAGAATACAACAACAAAACTATTTTGGTGATCACTAGGCATAGGCGTAGGGTGCCAGCCATCATTAACTAAAACTAGTTTTCTACAAACGTCTATAGGCGAGGTCTTTTCAAAACGTAAACCGCGAGCGAATTCATTTTACAACTATACAATTATATTTCTATGATATATAGTCTCATTCTGATGTTTGTGCTCGAAAAACGGAAATAAAGACCCCCCCCCCCCAACACACATACACACATCCACCCACCCCCGGCTCCTACGCCTATATAACTAGGATAAATTCACGGGCAAATGATTGGACTTCTGTATAACGTTGTAGCTATCAGTTTGTATTAAATGCTTTGAAACCAGTTAGGCATACTTTTGCACAACCGCTGGAGAAAAAGAACAAACAAAACCCCCAAAACAAACAAGACCCGCCACTACTCCGGTCTCCCCACCTCCACCCTCTCTCCGACCACCATCCGGAATATGCGACAAAAAACCCCATATAAATCAAAACTATCAACAAATTATAAATAAAAAACTATACCATGAACAAATTACCCCACCCCCTCCCCCCACAAAAGCTCATAAAACAGTCTAGAAACGAAATTGAGGCAAGTGAAATATGGTTTCATGAATTGTATGACTGTGTGATCAAGACATTATAAAATTATTAATGATTGCAATGGGTGGGTATAATATATCGCCTGTATATACTTCACACGAAAAGAAAATGTCTAAAAGATTATTCTCGATTCAATATTTAATATTCTTACTTAAAATAATGTTCATATAATATAGCTTATTTTTTTGTGGTTTATATACAATCTTAAAGCAGTCGCAGCTTTTATCGATTTCTTTTATGACAGCGAATAATGCGTACATACTTTATGCATTTTGCCCTAACTAAAGAAAGGACTGAAAACGAATAAAACAGATTTTATGATGAAGAAAAATTCTAAAATTTCTTACCGTCTAAATTTCCAACTATAAACTGTGAGGAGTTATCACTTGGAGGGTTGGGTAATCCTTCTTGGGCGTTCACTTCCCTGGCGTCAAGCCCATGGTGACTGCCATGGTGTCCGACATGCCCTGCCTTACGGACCAGGCGTCGGTACACTTTCCCCATTCTCCAATTAAACTAAGAAGTTATCCTATTCTTTCATTATCTTCAGTTTAATGGAGGATAAACTTGTGCCCTGTATAAAGAAAACTGTGGAATTAAGAAGTGAACTTTCAAATCAATATTAGTATGGGTAGTTGAAGTCATATATTGATCGCTAACGGAATACCGAATGACGTTTGGATTTGCCGAGTGTAACAGATGGTCTAATAATTCTAAGTGTCCAGCTCGACAAAAACTAACCACACTTCTTGCATTGTCCATTATACTCAGGGCAGATTAACTTAATTATGGTGGATTAAGCGTAAAATTAAACAAGCGTTACCTGACGCCTCCAGTGCTAGTCGAACAGTCGTGACGTGGAGAGCCACTTGCACGTTGTGACCAAGTTGACGAGAAACACGGCGGTTTACTCAGGGAACACACCTGCATTATACGTAAAACATAATACAATATATAGATATATGTCTATACATTGATATAATATTCTATTGTAATCGATTTTATATTATTATTTTGTGTGTTATTTCTAGGCTGTGTATCTAATTTTACAATTTTCATAATCGAGAATCCCAAATGTCAAAGCTCGTTCTTATCAAGGAAATGGGTCATTTGACATTTTAACTTGATTGAAATAGGGCTATTTGTTTTATCACTGCGTTAGTCAATACTGAGTATAAGTAAAGACATACAGCTGTTCCTTTCACTATTTTGTCAACAAGATGCAGTTGTTTACATAGAAACAAAGAAAAACAAAATAAACACAGCAGTTTCTGTCGATATGGGATTAATATTTAATTTATCAATAATTCTAATAAAAGGGAAAAATGCATGACTGTATATGATACAACAATTAAATGTCGCACATACTATATACTTCATTAGATACACTTAATTTATAACATTCGAAGCAAACTGATAAGTATTATATGATTCATTTATTATTTTTCTCAACTGCAAATAAAATAAATGTTGCTAATTGAAAACTTGAATTTCAGCAACGGCAAAGTCAAGTATATTTTTCACTTCATATCATATCTAGCGTACCATGATCATGACCCAGTGTGTAATGATAGACCGTCTGTTTGAGTGGATGTCAATCAACATTTTTAAGCATATTTATCGTTGTTCAGGCAACAATTGCCTTACAATCAATGATGGCGACATGGAACATTCTAGCTCTGTAACCCATAGTTTATCCACGCAAGTTTTGATATTATAGTGCATTTAACTTTCTATAGCAATACTAATCCTCTGCAACAAGCGTAAACTGTTTGACCATGTCTAAAAACTTAATATTTCGATAGTGATTGGTCGGTAATATAGACATGCACGTGCTGGAAAATTTCCCCAACCAATCATCATAAGTTAGCAGAAAGGTGATCTAGTAGTGCCTATATTTATTTACTCTTCAAAAAAAAGTAGGCGATATTCAGAAACAATACAAAACTGCGGAAATGCACTGCTGTTTTTATTAGAGGTAACCAGTGTATGTTAATAACAGGTCAATTGCCTACACATGAACATAAACAGTTCATATGGGCGACTTATCTGACGGCCCTATTTCACTCGCAAAGAGATACACTGTCAAAAGTGAAAATGGACGTTTTTGATTTTTGTCTTAATAATGAGTAATTGCTCCACCAATCCTCAGACATTCCACAATTCGTCGCGGCATGCCTCTAATCAACCGTCCAATCACGATTTGGGGCAATATGACCAACTCCTCTTGCAGTGCCACGGCCAATTCTTGCAGTATTGTCAATTGACGTTGACGTCGACGAACACGTCTCCCGGTTAAATTAAATGAAATGAAATGAAATGGGGTTTAACGTCCTACTGTTTTGCTCCTAAACTGGGCTAATGAAGACGGGCATACGCCATACAGTGTGCTATGAGGGAAATTTTGCCCGGGCAGCGGCGCTACGGCCTACTCTTATATCTAATTCCAACTGCCAAGGGATCTTTTACGTGCACGCCAATGTGTACACGGGACCTCCGAACGACTAGACAGCTTTCCTTGTCAGCCCCTCCGTCCTGCATCACTGACAAGGGAGAACCACGCCGGAAAATCTGGATGAACTTTCTCGGCCAATGCAGGGATCGAACACCCGACCTCCAGGCTAGCCAGCTAGCGTCTTACCCACTTAGCCACGTGATCCCTCCGGTCAAATTAAACGTAACACACTAAAGCAAAGATACGCTAAACAGTAAATCTTATGCAAGAACCGATGGGAAAGCAAACATGGATAGGATAAACCAGCAAGCGGCAGTTTTCACCAACCCTTCCTTGAAGTGTCAAATTTGACAATGAACCCTTCTCGTGTGTATTGGGGCGATAAGTTCTTCATCTGTGAACATACTCTCAAAGCACGTCTAGTGTCCATGACTATTTATCATATCACAACCTGCATAGGTATTTGCATTTCAATATCCCCTACTTTTTTTGAAGAGTATATATATTCAAACACTGCTGGACTGACCTATGATTTCTGTCCCAAATTATGACTAACAGTGGGGTTAACAACCAGTGCACTGCAGCTTAACAAATCAATTCGGATTAACTGGAGCTTTAAATATGTTGACATAAAAGTTTATAATGACAGTCGCGGCTACATCACGTCACAAATCGCGAAATTTATTATGAGGGATTGTCTAGAATAATATTGCACAAAAGTTATTGAGTGACAAACGAGGCTATTCAAAATAACTACAAGTGGAATATTTGGGTAATCGCCACGTGTATAATCTTTTTTTTATCATCTGTTTGACCACGCTGCAGACGAACAATATTTTCACCATCTTTTAGTCCATTTAATCAACCCCAGATCAAAGAGACGAACTGTCATGTGTTACGTATTTTGTTTCAACAAAATGGATAGAACTACACTTTCAACAATTGTACTCAGCAGAGATTTGATTGGACGATTAAAATAGACACACGCCGTCAAAACGCAAACTTTTCGCTTTAAGCACAACAATGGCTAGAAATGGATTTCTCTGGCCATTGCTTCAGGAATATGATAATTGTAGCAATTCTCTATTTTTTCCCACACCCCTTTATTTGCATGGTTATTTTTGTTGACTCTTTGGTCCAAAATCGAAAAGGATCGTTTGAATTTCCATTATCAGCCAAGTTTTGGTGAATAATCATGATTTTGAGGCGTGTGTAACAGATTTGGGGTTTATCGCATACTAATATGACGTCACCCACTATAAAGTCCTTTGACTAGGCATATAAAAAATGGAAACGCCAACCCTCTTCAATATTTCTTATCGTAACACGTTAGCGCTTTGTGGTTAAGATCATCGGCCAAGACATGTCATGGATTTAGCATTGAAGTCAATGGGGAGACAATTACTAGTCTGAGTTCTGATGTAACTATGTATTATTATTACAGAAATTAAGTCATAACGCACGCGACAACTTTACAGTTCCATACCTACGTAGTTAACTTCATCCATTCATCTGGAAAATATTAATCAAATATTTTAATGTGTGCGGTAATGTGTGCCATAGTGATCCCGAAAAGAACTTTTTGAGGTGCTTTAATTTTTGGATCTTCATGGAATGGCATATAAACAAGTAGACATGTTGGGTTATTTAGATAAAGATGGCTAAAATTATAACATTATAACATTAGTCCAAATTTGTGGCGCACGGTTATCTCGGAATTTTCAGGGAGAATTCTTAAGGTTCAAAACGGCAGTTATTTCCCTTGTATCAGACTTTAATCATTTCATCCGTTCACGGAACTGCTATGATTTTACCCTGCATCACTGACAAGGGGAAACCACGCCGGAAAATCTGGATGAACTTTCTCGGCCAATGCAGGGATCGAACACCCGACCTCCAGGCCAGTGAGCCAGCGTCTTACCCACTTAGCCACGTGATCCCCTAAGAAATTGCAAGAAAACGTTTTTATGCATATTTGTGTTTATTTAGGTGTACTTTATAAAATCTAAAACTTTTACCAAATTTTGCCCACCGGAAAGCGGTAAAATCAATGTGCAAGAAAACCCTTAACTGTTGGTTTAAAACCCTAAAGATTATTATTTACAGCTTCTAGATTCGCTACTGGCATTACCTTGCTGTTCTATGAATGTATAACAGTAAATGTGATGCAAACTATAACGTTGTATAGCCTAGCAAACTGGGATTGGCATTTATTTTAGCAAAAGTTGTCCAGTTAAAGATACATTATGGGAGATAAGATAAAGAGATGGCAGTTCTCGCTATAGTATAATAGTTAAAAACTAGATAGTGTAAAGGTAATTTGCTGAAAATTTCAGTCAAATTGATCCACTATGAGCCGAGAAAGAAGCCGGTGAAATTTGTGCATAGTCTCGGTTATCATTACTAAAATCATTAATATAAACAGCATAGTCTCGATTATCCACTTTTTCTGATTTAATTATCTTTGGCCGTCAGCGGCATATAGGAATCTAATCCAGCCTACATCGAAGGCTAGCTTTGAAATCGAGAATTTATTATGGTCTGGATAAGTTAATTAATGTCTAATTGATAATTTAGATAACATTTCAGGCCTCAAGAAAGACTTGTAATAAGCAGATTTTGCTCTTGCATAATGCATGTTTAATATGAAATGCACCTTAAAGTGTCTTAGAAATCATTTAGACGGCATCCCTTTTCATGCTATGAAGAACAAATTGGTAAATAATTTCTTGCACATCTATTTGCTTGCTTTACTTCACTCATCTTCCAAGACACCAGGTTATTGGGATGGGGACCCAAAAACATGTACATACCAAATATGCCAGTAAATGATGAAGAAGTGCAAGTTACGAATATACGTAAATTTGGGTTCGCGTCAATATATTTTGGGTAATGGATTCCCCGAAATGGTATAAGGATCCACTTAACAACAATGGGCATAATATCTTCAAATGAAAGAATGACACCATAAGCGTTAATTTAGAGACCAAAATTGCTGTTTTATGATAAGGACTCAGACTAGTAATTATTTCTGTCTGAAATTCCGCAGTTTTCTGATGTAATTATAGTGTTTGCAGAATGCCGCACTGCTCATCTGAAAATGCATAGATTTTCATAATCTTTGGCCAGGGCATTGCATATATGTTTGTTTATTAGATAACAACAGATTTGTTCAGACAGCAGCAACATGTGAGGTATATAGGACTCAGACGAATGTAGTGCGAGTTATAAATAATATACAATTTTTTCCTTAATTTTTTTTTCTCCCCTCTTCCTGCATTTTGGTCTAGAATTCGAGTAAAGGGATCAAATTTGCAATTTCATAGCAGTTTTGGGTAATACTGATGATATTACAGCGGAGGGATAGGGGGTATAAAGTGTCTTTCTGCAGAGCAATCATTGTGTCGGAAGTGAGATTTTCACCCCAGTCAACATCAAATCCCCGTAGCAAAAAATCTAAACGGTCAACCCCCTACAAAATTATGATGAGGATATTGCCAAATG